GGGGAAACCTGAAGCCCCTGTCCCCATTGCCGTTCATCACCTTCTCCCCACTCCTTTCTTTATTTCCCCCTGCCTGTGTTAAATTAGTTCTTCTTATGCCTGCTGAAGCTGCTGGAATTTTGTAAGAGCCAGGAATCGCGGTGGGGTTTTCTCCGTAAATCGTAAAATCTGTGCACCGGTATACAGAGTGAGCACAGCCAGGAACAGTGGCGGATAAGGTTAGGGTAATGGTTCTTCTAGGGATTGTGAGATTTCCAAAATTATTCTCTGTTTTGCTTTGTTGAAGTAGAACTGTGAATTCCAACTTTCTAACCCTTTCAGAAAAAAGGCCAAAAGCAGTTAAAGGAGCTGGTTAATATAGCAGCCTCTAATATTTAATGGTCTGAAACTGCATTTAAAATTATTTCAATTTAGTTTGAAAAGTGCTGACTTTCCTACAGTAAGAAGGAAATCCCAGAGTAGAGGCTGCACTGAGCAGACCAAGATAAAATGCTGCCAGGTAGCTGGACACAATTTTTCTTCTGATCTACACTGACATGCAAATTCATTCTGGGTTAGCCTGAAGAGAAACACATTCTAGTTCTGCTTGACTACAAGCTTTCCCCTAAGCATTTCAGATGCATTCTTCTCAAGTAAGATAGGTTATACTGACAAAATATTTGAAACAGATCTTGAAAAGTTAAAACACGGGTAGGTTTTGTCCTGTGAATGCAGAAAGATTTGATGTTGGAAGCAAGAAGCAAGAAGTGAGAAGAACTGAAAATACTTTTAACTGTATACGTACGCCTGGAAGCTGGTATGTCACCAGACAGGGAGTCCTCACTGTTATCAGCTGGATTTGGAAACTGGAGGAAGAATTTCAACATTTTTGTGGAGCTGGGGATCTTTCTCTTACTTTCTAGTTTCCATCTTCCATCTTCTCTGGAGTAATTCATCCTACCATAAAGACAAAGCTGACTCAAAGCTTCTAATTACTGAAAGACAACCCAAAATTTGAATGGTAAAGGAGCAAAGGAAAGGAGAGGGCAGAGCAGCTTGGGGTTTGGAGGAAGAGTGGAGAACAGCGTGGCAGAAAGTGTGAGATGCTGAGAGTTTTAACTTGCGTCCAGCTTGTAGCCTTCTCAGGGCCTTTCCTCCTTCCTCTGTATAATCATTGATGTTGTCCATGCTTGAAGCTGGCCTTCCTTAAACGGTAGAGATAGGGTTAGTAAACACAGCTTAAGTGCATGGCTGTAAATGACAATGCTGCCTAGTAGGACCACTGCTCTGGTCTGTAATGAGAATTACCATTTTCATCAAGTTCCTCAGCTTGGACTTCTTCCAGTTTTACTGAAGTGTAGTTGGTTCATTGCAAGCAACAAGCGGTTCATTATAAATGATGAAAATCTTGGCTTCCAAGACTGCCTTTGTAAGTAGGGAGCACTTGAGTATAGTATTTCAAATGGGAGGCTTCGGTGCATCTATTGAGGGTTGTGCGTTTTGGTTTTATTCTTTTTAAAGAGTGGCAGAAGGGAGCCACAGTACTCCACCCAATTGCTTGCAGAAAGTCTCTCTATAAAGTGAAGTTAGTTATGCTTGCAGCTGGAAAGACTTCAGCCATCGCAGTGAAGTGACTTCAACCCAGGCACCTCTAAGACTTTCTGTATGAACTAGCAGTTAGTGGATGAACTTTCCTTAGGGCTCACAGAGTTTAGCTACAGAGAAATATCAAATATGCAGACCCTGAGGAAGGGCTGAGAAAGGGAGGAATATTCTAAGGAAGAACATAGAAAACCCATTCTTGAGCCTGACAGAAGAACCGTGTTTTTTAATACCTTGTATCTGTTCAACAGCAACATTAAGGCAAAGCAAATTAAAATGAGCTTTTCCACAAAATCACATTATTTATCATCACACTAATGATGATAGTTTGTGACAGGCTGAAAAATACAGTCAAGGAGGTGCTTCCTCATACAACACGTAAAACTGTGGAACTCCTTGATGCAGAACAGTGTGGATACAAAATTTTATATGGGTTCAAGGGAAGACTGGGCAACTGTGGAAAAGAAATCCACTGAAGGTTCCTCATACTGCAGAAACTATCTCTGCTGTAAAGTTCATGAGGTGCAACTGGTTGTAAGCTAAGAGACTATGAGGGAGGAGGGACATACATGGTTGACCTATTCTGTTGCTCTGCCCTAGGGCATCCACATTTGGCCAGTGTCAGAAACAGGATTTTAGGTGAGGTGGACCTTTGGTCAGGCCAAGAAAGCCATTCTTATGTACTTATCATAGTAATTCATCATTATGACACCTTAGAATTTATCCACAGATATGTAAAATCATAATTCCTCTTCACATTTAGTACTAATTGAGCAATAACCAATACTTTGAAGGTAACTTTTTATATAAAAGTTAATGTTTAAATAAGTGCATTTCTGCTATACCAATAACATGGACTGCTATGGTCTACTGGTGTCTCTGCAAAATCTGCAGAATCTTGCTCTGCTTTCAAAACCTTCAGATATCATTTAATATGACTGCATACACCCCAGATCTTACAGTGCTAGTCACTGTAATCTCCAGACGTCTTGTGAAAGTCCACACATCCTCTCCAAAACCTGAGTTAGCTACTTTAAAGCCAGGGTGGGTATCTTTATGCTGTCTTGTAAAATGTGTTTTATGTATATCCTAGTGAGTAAACTCTGGGTTAATGTTGGTATTGCCTGCAGGCAAAGGTGAAAAGCATAATAAAATATGCTAAAAAAAATCTCCCACAGTCTGAATTTGGCACCAAGATCAACAGCGTGTGTTTGAACAATAGTGCTTAGTTAGCTAAAAAGTGATGATTGTTACCTCTTATAGACAAGAACTATGTCTATATGGTGAAGATACTTAAAATTATAGGAGTTGTTGGTTCATTATACAGCTTTTAAAGTGATGATGTCACTTATTTTTTTATGTTCCACACATACTCCTCTTTTTTCATGCTAGATCTTTAGCCAGTTTGTAACCAGGCTATTTCACTGGAGAGCGGCACTCGTGGTATTCTAAACTAAGCTGAAGAAAAGGAAAGCGGTTGTCTCTGCCTTGGTTTACATTGCCATTACTATGTAAACCAGGGAGCTCAACCACAGGCATATCCTTGAATTGCTTGGCTTTTAAAGTTTAATCATAGGCACTTTCTTTCTGCACAGCTGAGGTTTTATATGTAACTGGAGTGAAGGATATGAGAATGGTGCACAGCTCTCCCAATGGCATCAACCAAGTAGTTGGTTAATGCCACTGACATCATTGCTGCCAAAGGAGAAAAATGGTCTTTTCAGTAGTGTTTTGAACCAGAATCAAGACTTCTGGGTTCAGTTTCTGGCTCTGCCATGGACTTCCAACAATTTTACATTCTTTCTGCATGTTTCCCAACTACAGATGGGAATAATACTGCTTTTTTTCTTTCCCATTTAAAGTACTAGCTCTCTGTGTGGTGCATCACCCCATCAAGGTGGGGCTTTCCACATGTGGCCATAAGGCACAGACAGCACAGTTCCTGCAGTGTTTGTGGGATCCTGCAGGAAAAAGGCCTGTGATGAGCCTGTGGATTCATCCCTCCCACTTGGCTGGGCTCTCCTGCATGTATATAACCAGGAGGCTCTTCTAGATGAGCAACCTTCTACTTTCCTCACTCCTCTGTCCCCTCCAACCATGAATTTTGAAATTCTCTGACATCCTGAGAGAGATTCAAACACCCACACATAGAAAATGAATGAGGTTTTGGTGGCCACGGCCTACAGGTTGATACAACACAGAATCTGCAGGAGATCCATGTCTTTCAGAGCAGCAGAAGCTGAAAGCATTTAAAATGAGACTTGCCACTTTGTTTAGGTCCCCTTATTGCTCCATCTGTCACATCCAGGGAACATAAGCTTTGAAAGGGGAAAGGAGATCTTTCTAAGTTGGTTCCTTGGGAGAGCAGTTAGCAAAGTGGGATTTTCCACAGCAGGCAGATTCCCAGGTCTTAGCTGGGTGGGTAGTGCAGATCCATTGGCAATATTTGGGCCACTTAAAGCCACTACTTTTTGGCCATTAAATGAAAGAGTACAATTGGTCTGGTTTCCTGAGGGTTCTTAAGTCTCACGAATGTAGTTTGTCCATCTCTGCCTGCATCCCAATTTCTGAATGTGAATTTTAAGTACATTGGTGTTTTTCAACCAAGTTCTGCCTACAACCAGGAGCTATAGAGGAGAAAAGCGGAAGTGTAAAACATAATTGCATCCCTATGGGTCAAATGAAAAACAAAGCACTGTACAGAGTGAAATGACTCAGATTACTGCTCTGCTGAGGGAAAAACGGGTAAAACTCAGCTGTTTCCACCTTCAGCATGGATGCTGGCAGACTGGTCTGGACCCATCTTGCTAAAGACCGCTGGAAACATCAGAGGCAATACAGGGAATATCCGAGGCATTTCTTCTTTGAGCAGAGGGTTAAATTCTGTTCCACTGATGTCAGTACTAATATTGCATGATTATACTTTGAAGATACTAAGACAACTGTGTGTATTTCCAACACATATTTTCAAATCTCTCTTTCTTGTTTTAGAAAAACATAGATAAAATGGAGCACATGTTACTGCTATTCATATTTTTCATACCTATATTGGGTCTCACTAATGGAGCAGAAACTGAACAAGATTTTACTTGGCACTTGAAGAAGATTCCCCAGATTGTGAGCGAAAGAACTTTCTCCCTTGACAGCCCTAAATTTGAAGCAAAAACCAAATTAGAGCTGAACAGCGTGTGTGGAATTGAATGTCAAAGAAAACTGCCGGTGCCAAGCTTGTCTGACTTGAAGGACCTCTTATCCTATGAAACCGTTTTTGAAAATGGCACACGGACCCTGACTGAAGTGAATGTCCTCGGGCTGGAGCGTGACCCAGCTGCAAACGCAACCACGCGAAGGTCCTCAAGAAAGAAGAGGCAGATCTATGGAACGGACAGCAGGTTCAGCATCTACGATAAGCGGTTTATGACCAACTTCCCGTTCAACACAGCCGTGAAGATCTCCACTGGCTGTAGCGGCATCCTCGTTTCCCCCAAGCACGTGCTGACAGCTGCCCACTGTCTGCACAATGGCAAGGATTATGTGAAGGGCAGCAAGAGACTGAGGGTGGGCCTGATGAAGACGAAATCCAGAGGCGACGGCAGGAAACGCAAGGGTGCTAAGAGAAGCAGGAGGGAAGTTTCTGTGGCCCAAGAGGATCCCGAAGTTGTCACAGAACTAAGGCGACGAACCAAAGGCGGTGGGAGAAAGCAGAGGAGATCTGGGAGGAAGCAGGAGACCTCAGATGGCATGCCTTCCTTCCAGTGGACCAGGGTGAAGAGTACCCACATCCCGAAAGGCTGGTTTAAAGGTGTCTCCGGGGATATTGCCCTGGATTATGATTATGCCGTTCTTGAGCTCAAACGTCCCCACAAAAGGAAATACATGGAGCTGGGAATCAGCCCAACAATCAAAATGATGCCTGGGAGCATGATCCACTTCTCAGGCTTTGACAATGATCGATCTGGGCAGCTGGTCTATAGATTTTGTAGCATTTCTGATGAGTCCAATGATCTCTTTTATCAGTACTGCGACGCTGAGCCTGGCTCCACCGGATCTGGCGTCTATCTCCGTCTTAAGGAGCCGAACAAAAAGAAGTGGAAACGCAAGATCATCGCAGTTTACTCCGGCCATCAGTGGGTGGATGTCAATGGCGAACAGCAGGATTACAATGTGGCAGTAAGAATTACTCCTCTCAAATATGCCCAGATTTGCTTCTGGATACATGGGAATGATGAGAATTGTACGCGAGGCTGAAGAGAGCCGAACCTGAGTCGCTCAGCACCCCTATTGCCATGGAGTGACAGTCTGCGGCGGCAGCTACTGGGAGAGCATCACTCCGCGTCAGGATGGTTTTGGACTCAAAGCTCTTGAGGGACGCTGAATTGCTGGGGGATGGGTAGAATTGTCAAACAAAATATCTGTAATTGTAATCAACCCTAGACATGCACTTAAAATCCCAAACTATATTTATGTTTGCAGTTGTGATAAATTCAAATCGTTCGCATCAGAAAAAAAAAAGTACTACACCCGTTTGTAATTTTTTCCCAAGGGAAGGATTGAAATGCCTCAAACTGGTATTATTAAAAACAATATCTATTTTTCCAATGGATTTGCTTTTCTCAGGGTTCTGTTCCAATTCTCCAAATGCAAGCTGTGCATACAGCATGCTACTGTATGTGCAGAATGATCCAGAGACCTGCATGAAACCAAGATGTTATTCTGGCATTCTCTGAAGCCCACAGCCCCATGTTGAGAAGCAGCAGTCTAGTTCATGTCTGGTAGTTCGGAAAACTTCCTCCTCTGGCTGCTGCAGGAACACTTCCGTGGAAATCCCAAGTTTCTGTAGCTGAGGGTTTAGACCTTAATGACAAGTTTCACTGCATGGCTCAGTAAAAACAGCAAAAAGAAATTAATGAACAGAGAAGTTTCCATGTTGGGAAGGAGAAGAAGAAACTTCAGGACAGAATTTAATGCATAATTTAATGCTTTTAAGTCTTCTTTGATAAGCTACAGAAGTCTTAAACACATGCATTTGCATTCCAATTAGTATTTGGAGGGCTGTAGGTTTAGTTTCTATTCAAATATTTGGCTTTAACATTGGGAGAAGTCACTGACTTGCAAAGTGGCTATGTGACAATCATTTAGAGCTTCACAGATGATAGATCTTTTGGGTGCTAACCGTTTTGGCAGTTTCATAAATTACTTTCATAGGAGTTCAGTTTTATAGATAGGATTGTACGTATTAGACTGGGAGTTGGAAAACAGTGTTTTAGTTTGGCTTTATATGGTTTTGCAAAATGGGTAGTTTTAATCACATCATATTCAGACTCCACCTCAACATGAGCTGCAAGGTTAAACTCAAAATTTCTCCCAACTAAATCATACCACCTTCTGAGCGGTAGGAGAACTATCCTGTACGTTATAACAGATATCTTGTTAGGTAGCAGCAGTAGTTAGCAAATCATTTGGTTCAATATGTTTGCTGAACCATGTATTTAATGAAAACAAAAAGTAAGCTTGACTTTTACACACCTTTAAACACAAATCACCTTTTAAAAATGGTTGTTGATTGCTACACAAGTCTGTATCTTTTATTTTATATCAAGACTCTGAGATGCACAGGATTGTTATGGTGCTACTTTCATCTAGTAACATAAAATGATACTGTGTATTTTTGGTCATATCCTTTGGGTTTCAATACTTTTAAGATTATTCATCACCACAATATTTCAGTTTTTTGCTGACCAAAATACATTTTCTTCCTGTGCAGGAGAAAAAAAAAATAAGATTTAAAAATACTATTTGTTTGTTGTTATCTTTAAAATATGCTTGTAATACCTTTTGATGAAATAAGATCATTTTTAATAACCCACTTTTCTGTAGATGTTTGAAAGTAAACAACCTGACACTTTGAATGTGCAGGCAACTTTCTTTGTCACACTATTGCCAAAGCCTACAAATTTAAGACTTGCTTCCATACCATAACTCTAACAATATTTCATTAGCTGGAAGAGATATCACTTTAAAGGAAACTGTTTCTTTTAATGTCAGCCTTTAGTGGGAACACTTAACTTTTCTTTTTTTAATATTTTATTGTGTGTGATTGTTTGCAGAAAACTAATAATAATTTTTAAAGTTTAGAGATTAATGTCTAAGATTTTAAGGTTTTATTTTTTATGGTTGTTAACATCTCTATTAAGACGTATGGCTTTGCTGACAGTAATTTTAAATCACCTCTGTCCAGTATTTAATACTATTGCTCTATGCAACGGGCCTACAATATTCTTTAGTTGGCTCAGTAATGTGTTTCTTAAGTGCCTTTTTCTGTAGTTACTGTGACAAATAAGGTACCACATCGCTAATCCAATACAAGTCAACCTAGGTCCATGGGTTTTGTTACAATTATTCTCATTGTTGATTTTGGCCCAAAACTTATCATGATAAGTTAATATATGGCTTGGTAAATTCCTTGTTTTGGTGAGTCTTATCCAGGTGAACCCCTTAGGAGCAGAAATCTAATCTATTTCTTTATTGGCTTGGGAATCAGGGACAAGGTAAGAATGAAAAACGTTGATGTCAGCTTTCAAATGGTCTTTTAATAATGATAATCCACTATAAATACCTCAGCCACGACCTGAAGTTCTCATGCCAGCCTGACAACAAATATTTATCCTCAGAGGATAAATATTAGATGCTCAGTGCCTCATTTTATGGTACTAAGAGATTAAAGAGGCTGGCCAGAGCAACATAAAAATTAATCAAAACTATATATATGTATTCAAGCCTCTATGTCGGAGTGCACATGCATAAACACATGTGAATATATGGCCTTGTAGAGCATGTGCCATTTTGACTGGGTCAGTGCCTTCAGGCAAGGGAATGCACGCGCAGAAAGACACAGACAAAATGTTATTTCTGTTGAATCTGCACTCCGGGCAACATTTCAGGCTGCCACTTGACCTGGTAGAGAAGGAAATGCTTTATGTAGGCATTGTGACTGCTTACCACGGGGACTTCTGAAGTAGTTCATAAATCGAGTACTTAGACACAACCTCAGGAGGTCAATGTCCTGTGGAGAGCTCTTGGTACCAGCCACTGCAAACAGGACAAGAATTTCTGAGCCATGATCATCTCAGATTTCCTTAAAAACCTGCGGTCACTATCGAGTTATCAACAAGAAAATACGAGGAGGGGGTGTTTTTCATAGATCAGATCTGCTGTTGGCCAGGACACCAGCACCAATCTGGGCTCCCAGCCCAGAAGGGGAGAGAGCCCTTGTGATGTTTCCCCAAAGGATTTTTCCCTCTTTCACGTACTGGGTTGTACATCATTTGTTTTCATCAGTACTAATGGTTTTCCACAAGAGTTGCTATAGTAGATATTTTTCTTAAACTGTATCCCTGGTGTTAGGAAAAAACAAACTCAATCAAATCCCTTTTCTCCTAGGGGGCTACTAGCAGTCCGTAGTTAACCAGTAAGTTTTTCCAGATAAGTTTTAAGGTTTTCCAAGATAAAACCTCACATACAAACTTAACACACCCAGACCGGCTTCTGCAAGGCGTTTGTGCATGCATTTAATTTGGGGCTCTGCGACATATGGTGGAAGCCATCTGCAATGTGAGAAATTAAGTCTAAGTTTGTATTGTCTTAACAAAGAAAAACATAATGTTAGGTAGCAAAATGATTTCTGTTATATGAGGTATAGGGTACCTGATGGTTTAAAAATTGCTTAAAGAAACTCCTTGACTCAGTTTATAGTTTACCAGCCAAATTTTGCATATTTATGAGCATGTATGGAGTATGAATCAGCACAGAATATGGCTTAAGTAAAAAATAATTCATCTACATGTGGAGGAGAGAGGCAGCTGGGGAGCTCCTCCTGTTCTGCTGATAAGGGATGGACTGGCAGCACACAGCAGCTGAGACAGAAAGAGAGGACAAGAGAAGTAGATGGTACAGAAGATCAGGAAGATGGAGGTGGTATGTGAGGAATAAAGAAAGTGTGAAGAGTAGTGGAATGGCTGCAAGGTAGCAGAGGGACCATTGTAAGAAAGAGTGGGCAGCTGGAAAAGGCATATCAGTATAAATTAGGATGTCACAATCACAAGTTACATGAATAATCTCCTTCTGCTATTAAAGAGGCGGCTGTTCTTCCCAGCACCGAAGAGAGGGCTGTGAGAGGGCTTGGTCCTGGCAGGGACCACCAGCAGGCAGGGTTGACCCTGATCTACCGTCTCTGCCCGAAGACACAGGGATAGTGCTTGAGCTTATTTAGGGTCCTTGGGAAGCGACTGCTCCATGTCCTGGCAAAAAGGAACCAGCGGGAACCTCCCAGCACATCCGGGCACCAAGAGTGCGGTGGTTAAAGGGAATTACTTTCACATGAAAGCTTCTCAAAGCTGACATTTTGTTGGGATTCCTGTAAAGGCTGTGCCCCATTGGGGGAAAAAAATAAATTGAAACCAAAACCAAAACACAACAAAACACAGAAAAACCCCAACCCAACAAACAGAATAATCTCAGACCTGAAACATTTAAATGTTGGCTCCATTTTTTGCATGTACCTACGAATTCTAGACAATAAATATTTTCAAATACTTTCTGCTTTTGTTTGGTATCTTTGTAGAAATTTAATCAACTGCTTCTAATTTTAAGGCACAGAATATTGCGGATACTTCCATCTACAAATTCCTGGATTAAAGAATGAATGGGGGTGGGGGGGGTGGGGAGAATATTGTGAAATTGAAAGCTTAAAATTACACACTAATCTCAAAGGATTTGGAAATATATTTGAGGCCCTGTTGAACCAGCCTTTAGCTCCAAGCATGAGATAGCATTTAGGTTAAAAACCTCCAGAGGTAGCTGTGATGATTCATTAAAATTCTTAACGTTTTAAAGCCTGACAGCAAATTTAAATAATATTTTTAACTGCACAAAATGACAAATCATTTAGGAAAATAAATGCAAACCTTTGCTATATTAAAATCTTATACGATGCACATACTCTGCCAATAAACATTTTGTATTATTTTTCTTTTCCTCTGTCATGACGTAGTTTGTCAGCTACGGTGGTGTTACACAAACTGCATTCTGTAAATGCTCGTAACAGTCTACCAGTGAATCATCTGGGATGTGGTCTTACAAGATATTAATGCCTCTCTAAATTTGTTCTGGGAAAAAACCTCCCCGTATATTCTTGTCTTCAAGATAATTGTTCCATGAGCAAATTTGATGAGCAAAAAAAAATTGGTTCA